ACCCCAGCTCCTGCGCTGGACCCAGACACCTGCACTGGTGGAAGAAAGAAGGAATTCCCATCTGCAGGAAACACCTTATTTTAATTGTCAGTTGAAACCCTGCTGCTGCTAAGACACCTGCAGTTGTCAGTGTTGGGAATCACTATCGAGACTTCCATGCTGGTAAAATTGCAGGTTAATGACCTCTGGGGACTGGAGTTGTCTCCTGACTGTCTTTCCTGATGGGCTGAGGAGGCCACCAGGCAGGATGCCCTTCCTTCTTGTGCGCAGCTGAATCCCAGCATGGTAGCTGGCCCTCAATAATTACTTGTTGAATGAATTAACAAAATTTAAAAGTTATTTCTGTTAATACGGCTCACCTCATTTTAAAGTTCAAGCCTTGACATTCCGAATTCTCTGATGATATCCCTTCACCTCACTGATCCTCAGTCTCCTGACCTAATACCTACCCCCGAGGCTGTTGCTGGCATGAATGAGACGATGCATGTGACTTCACTTTGCAAACCCCAAGGACTGTGCATGAACGGAGGGCCCAAAGGTTGAACTTTCATGAACCTGCTCTCGACATACTTTAAAAGGTCTGCTCTTGACAGAGTCCCGGTATCCCTGGGGTCTTCCCAGACTCCTTTGTCCCTGCCAGCTGGGCCATCTCTTCTGTCTTTGGATTCAGAGCTTGCTCTCCGTCTGCTCCCTTAAGTGGGTACTTCACACCATCCTCTGCTCCCTTTGCCCAGGAGGCAGACTCCGGGTCCACCGTCCTGGCCCTGGAAGCCCAAAGTGAGGATCAGCAAAAGTGCCTCTTAACTCCCCTGGGAGTGCCTGAAAATTAACAACCCAGCGGGTGACATAGATTTTAAAAGTCACAAATTTGCTTTTGTCATTTCTTTTTAGATTTGAAAACCAAGAGCTGGAGCATATTTTCTCAGGCCTGGAGAACTACCAGAAACTTCAAGACCTCAGTCTGCGCTACTGTGGTCTGGGGCCACAGAGTGGGCCGTGGCTGGGCTCGGTCATATGCCAGAGTGCCATCTGGTGAGAAGCAACCCCTGCTCCCCCACCCGCATCTTGGCACTGTTCTGCCTCGGGTTACATAACCAGCTATTTACAGAGCCTGCTGGCCCATGAGTTCCCCTGATTTTTCATTGTTTCTAATCCTCTTTCTCTCTCTTCTAGTTATTTTTGTCTTATTTTTCATAAGTATAAAAGTCCTTTAGTTACATTTGAGAATCAAGGATGTCATGCTAAATGCATGTCTCTGGCCAGCTAACATGGTCACTAGGTCTACTTTTTATGACATGGTCTATTACGTATCATGATTATTGATTTATTATTTTATAAGTAGATCTACTATAATTATTTAAATTTATGAGGTAAAGACCTCATCAATTTGAGAAAGTGGAATTAACGCGAAATGAACAGTGTATTTGACCCCTCCCCCAGTGAGCTGCACCTTGATGGCAATTACTTGCAATGTTCTGGAGCTCTGGCTCTCCTCAGACCTACAGCAGAGTACACAGAGATGCAGGGGAAACAGCAGCCAGCCACAACCTCACCAGACTCCAGGAATCCTCCTCAGCCACCCCAAGGTAAGCTCTGGGGAACTTGCCCTTGAACTCTGCTGGGGCCACCTAAAAGAAGGAAACTCTGCTTTGCTATTGAAAATGATTTTCCCCAGTGGTCAATGGAGATTCTCCTACCTGAGTATGTATGGGAGCAGAATAATGGACCCCCAAAGATGTCTTTGTCCTAATCTTCAGAACCTGTGACTAGGTTACCTCCATGGCAAAAGGGACTTTGCAGGTATGATTAAATTAAGGATCTTGCAAGGGGGGGGGATTATCCTGGATTATCTGGGTGAGTCCAGTGTAATGAGAATCTTTATAAGAGGGAGGCAGGAGGGCCAGAGTCAGGGAGAAGGAGATGTGGCGATGGAACTAGAGACTGGAGTGATGTGAGGAAGGGGCCATGAGCCAGGAATGCAGTAGTTGCCCTTTTGCTGCTGGAAAGGGCAGGAAATGAATCCTTCCCCAGAGCCTCCAGAAGAAACGCAGCTTCACCTATGCCTTGACTTTTGCCTCTAAGACCCATTTCAGACTTCAGACCTCCCAAACTGTAAGGCAATAAACTTGTACTATTTTAAACCACTAAGTTTGTGGTCATTTGTTAAGGCAGCAATAGGAAACTAGTACAGCATGTTAATCAGAATTCTTTCAGTAAAAGTGAAAGCAACCCAAACAAAACTAAAGATAAATAGGCTCACATAACTGGGATGTCCATAGGTGGCACTGTCTTTTGAAATGGCTGATTTCAGGGACTCAAAGCAAGTCATCAGGGGAACCTGAGTTTGCTGCTCTGGACTTTACTTCCCTCCCAAGGGTTGGCCTTCTCTCCCAGTGCAGACAGGCTTCCTACAAACAGGAAACAACAGTTGATGTTGTTTAGTCCCAGGGCTATATCATCATGACTTGTAATCAACCAGAAAGTGTGAGCCTCTTTCTTCTAGTGACTGTGGGGCAAATCCCATAGGAAGACTCTGATTGGCCTTCCTTGAGTCACATACCTACCTATTGGACCAATCCCTATAGCCCAGATCATGGTAAACTGTGATTGGTCAGGACTGATCACACACCCATTGGGGTGGTGGAGCACTGTGCTGGACAGTCCTACTAGAATCACAGGAACTGCAATAAGGAAGTAGCAGTCCCCCCAAAGAAGTAGACAGATGAAGAAGACAGATGCAAGACAGGCGAGAACAAACAGCTGCTTACTCCTCTTATAAAAGGCTTATCGGGCTGACCGAGTGGTGCGTTGGTTAAGAATTGGTTTGGGACGCCAGCTCTGAGCAACAGGGCCCGGTTCGGATCCCACATTAGGGCCAGTGACACTGCGCCCTCTACAGCTAAGATGCTAAACAACAGCTTGACCTGGAGCTGGGCTGCCCGTGAGTTGCCAGCGACAGCGTAGGCTGCAGTGGGGCTGCAGTAGGCTCCTGTAGCTACCATGAGCGGCTGGCAGCCGGCATGAGCTGCCAAGAGCCGCCGTGAGCGTCTGTTCAGGGGCCGGTGACCAATCTGCCTCACACAGGAAGAGCGCAATGATAATACTAACATGGGCCAATGAAGTGACGTCCTCCACAACTAGACTGAAGAACAAAAGGACAGCAACTTGTCTGTTCCCCTTCTCTAATTCCCCAACGCTCTTCCCCTCCCCCAATTCCCCAGTTAAATATTTAAAAAATTAATTAATTTATTAAAAAATAATAAAAGGCTTATCATTTGTTTTAATGGAGCCCAAGCACACATATTCATGATACATTTTAAAGCTGACTACTTTTAATCATTGTTGATAGTAAACCATAGCAGGTGGTTAATAGCACAGACTTAGAATCAGACCTGGGTTCAAATCCTACTTCAGCTGTGCATGACTTTGGGCAAATTGTCCAATTGATCTAACTTCAGCCTGTGCAGCTGCAAAATAAACATAATGATAACAAACCCATAGCATTTAGTGAGGATTAAGTGATATAATGTAAAACAGTCCAATGCCTTACACATAATAAGTACTTGAGGATGTTAATTATCATCACCATCATCATTATTACTATAGCAACAGCAATCTTTTCCTAGGAGAGTAAAATCTTGAAGCCTGCTGGTGAACACAATCACTCTACTTGCTGGAAAAAAATTAAGATAAAGAGCTAAAATCTAACATACTGCATGGTGACTATAGTTAACAATACTGTATTGCATATTTGAAAGTTACTAAAAGAGTAGATCTTAAAAGTTTCCATCCCAAGGAAAAAAATTGTTCACTATGTGCAGTTATGGATATTAACTAGACTTATTGTGGTGATTATTTCGTAGTATATACATATAGCGAATCATTACACCATACACCTGAAACTAATACAATGTTCTATGTTAATTATATCTCAATTTAAAAACACATTATTCACTGACTTGCCCTATAACTAAAAATAGCTGAAGTCAAGGCTACTTTGTGGAAATGAGTGCAAAGAGCTTGTAACTAACAGATTTGTAAATGGTACGGTTATCCCCCATTTAGGAACTTTCAGGCATCAGAATTATATAGGTTATTTGTTGAATTTGATAATTCAGTCAATCCAATAAATATATAAAAGAAAGCTGGAAAAAAAGTTTACTATTAAATATTACTTTCCTTTTGCTATTTTTACCAGCATTCCTGTAAAAAAATCACAGTCCTATTTATGAGGTCCTGTATTATAACTCTAGGATCTAAATAACTAAGTGAATCTGTGATTTTTAAAGAAATCATTGGAAATATAAAAGCACTGCCTCAAGGGATTGTTGTGTGGCAGGCAAGGACAGGTGTGAGAGGTGTGGGATTAGAAAGGTAAAGAAGCGACAAGGATTTGGGGGAGAAATGTAAAGATCTCCTATTCCAGTTATTCTAAGTGGTTTCTGCTGAAAGGGGCTTTAAGGCTTCATTTTAAGGGTTCTGGATTTGTTTTCCCTGGAAGCCAAAAAACCAGGGTCAGAGCTGACCACAGAGAATGCCTGCCCTGTCATTCTTCGCAGCAACCTTAGACAGGGTGCAAACTGTTCCAGCTGGGCCATGCCCTGCGGTCAGTGGTCAGCATACAGAACCTCTTTTAAGTTCCTCTCTTTACTCAGGATCTCAGCAACAACAACAAAACCCACAACAAGTACAATTCTAGGTTCTTCTCTTCCTCTAGGGCTAACTATGACACCTAACAACCTGTGCTTTAGCTAGTCCTGTCAGACCCCGGGAGCTGCCCTGCTCCCTGTCCCTTACAACCCTTGTCTCAAAACAAATGTGCTATAGGCTATTGTACTGCTCCTCACCCCCCACCCCCCAAAAAAAAATTCATGTTGAAGTCCTAATCCCCAAGGTGGTGGTGCTAGGAGTTGATGAGGTTATGAGTGCAGATCCCTACTAAGTGGGATTAGTGCCCTTAAGCAAGAGACCCCAAAAAACTCCCTCACACCTTCTGCCATGTGAGGTCATAGGGAGAAGACTGCCATCTATGAATCAGGAAGCGGGCTCTCATCAGACACTGAATCTGCTGGTGCCTGGATCTTAGACTTCCAGCCTTCGGAACTGCGAGGAATAACTGTTATTTCTAAGCCACTTGCTCAGTCTATGACATTTTGTTATAGCAGCCCAAATACATTAAGACACAGCGTATAAGAACACGTCTAGTGGGTGTGTTTGAGAGGGTATGGATGATTTTAAGGAAACATCCAGATTCTCAACTTCCTTAAGGACCCAATACCTGTGGTTACTACCGTTGGTCACAATCATCATTTTACTTTGTCAAAGAAAGGCACATCCTCTCCTATCCAGTGTCTGAGTAGAGTGTCTTCCTTAGGGTGCAAAAAACAAAGTCAATTCAAAATATTAATGTGTTAAGAAAGTGAATGACTCATAACTCAGTGACAAACCATTTTTTACACATCAGGTGACTTCTGATTTTCGCTTTTCTCATAATTGAAGGAAGACATAATCAAGTTATCAACTGACAGGTCATTAACAATCTTTTTTTTTTGATCAACCAACCACTGTGTGATTTTTAGCCTAAAACTCAGGAGTTCACAGAATTGAATAATAGTTAAATTTGAATTGTAGATGAAAAATAATTTATTATAAGTATTTCCCATGCAATGTTTGAGATATAATACTAAAATAATTATTTTTTGTTTATCTGACATTTAAATGGAATGGGGTGTCCTGTATTGGGGGGGCAAAGGAGGTTACAGTTGGCAATCCTAGTCCATTTCCATCTGTATGAACAAGATTTCTCGGCATTTATAACTATCACAATGAAAAATAGAAATAGTATTGATGTTGAATTCTGCCTCATTTTAGCAGTAATATTCTTTAAAGAATACATGAATGAATTATAAAAACAAATAAATAAAACAGCACCATCCATCTCACTGAGTCATTCAATGAATTTTTATTTTTGTATTTAATTAGACTTTATCAAAATGTATAAATACATGTATGAATCAACCATATATTTCTAAAAATTGATTAATAACTGCAGAAGATATTTTTAATACTTTAGAGCCTTATAATCCCAAGTAATTTTTTAAATTTAAATATTGGTAAATGTAGCATTTTATTACAGAGAAGTATTACAGGATGAGCTATAAAGACTTTCAAATATAAAATTCTGCAAAGTAGAATGGAAATACAAATGAAAGCACCTGAAGAAAAAGGAATAATGTAAAATTTTTGATGACTAAAGAAGAATTTGCTCATGTTTTGGGTTGTTTGGGATTTTTTTTTTTTTTTTTTTTTTTTTTTTTTTTTTTTTT